GATATTTCTTAGTAGTACTAAATAAATAATTATTATGATATTATTAAACAAATAATATTATACAGAAACAAACTACTTACTTATAAACTAAATGTTTTTAATGTAGAAAGATATTTATTCATAATTACAGACAATAATTTAAATAAAAACATACTGTGAACATGTATAATCATAGAAACTCACAGTTTCTATAACACTCACAAAGACTGCAAATGTAGTAGAATGCCCAGAATTATGCTGGAGAATGATAATAGACAAACTGTCTATTTACAATTAATATAAATGTTACAGACATGTTACAAACAACACATTAAAATTTATAAAACAAACAGCAGACATTAAGTATATAATAATAATATATATATTTATCTCTATTTGCACAAAGTTTTAGAGATAATATCTATATATATTAACATTGTAATCAAGCAACACATACACAATAATACTTAATACTTATTTTCAAACACAAACAATGTTACAGTATAATGTTTAAACAAAATGATTAAAACAACAAAGTACTAACACTACTTGTTGGATTACAAATACACAAAAAGAAATTAACAATGTACTTATGTACTTACACTACTTGTCAATTACTCAAAGAATAACATTCTCAAATTGAAGAGGAGTGATTGAACAATATACACACTAACAATAAACATTGAATTCTTAATACAGACATATTAACTATGTTACTAAATGAAATCTGTGATGAATCCGACAAATTTGTCAAACACAAAATACCTTATTAAAGAATATAAAAATTATACATTATGTAACATTTTCAATGCTTATAAAAGTTATTCAAACGGATAATTAATAAATTAATAATAATAAAGTCTAGAAATGGCACATATTCCAAAGTATTCTTTACAGCACATGTGTAAATGTTCACAACACAAAACTGTATATGAACAGATGAATATTCATGATGCAGAAATGTCAATCTTATTACTGATTCTAAAACAATAAGTAGTGGAACCAATGTATAATATTGATCAAAACATTAATCACTCAACACAATGCAAAATAATGTTAATCAGAACAAAAACTAAAGTCAACACAATGTGTGATTGAACTTCAAATATTAAATAAATAAAAAAACACATGATGAAACAAACACACATACTTACTGAAAGAAATAAGTATAATAATAAAATTATTATAACAAAGTTTAATACAAAAATAAACTAAATATGGACAAATAATATGTTATTTAACAAGATAATTCATCAATTCATACTATATATAATGAATAAAGTGATGAGTAACAAGAATAATACTTTGGAACATATATAAAAAGGATAAATAATGTATCTATACAATAATACAAACATTAACTGAATGATACAGCAGAAATGGTATGCAAAAAATTATGTAGTACACACTGTTAATTCTACACAACCATATAATCAATTATCATACAAACAATTCACTTGCTAATATTGTATGACGAATATTAATGCAAACAGTATCAGATGTATGAAATACATCAAATAAATACTAAACAGTATACATATAGAACAATGAATTAAGTGAATAAGAGGGATAAGAGACATACAGTTCTCTATCTAACTTATTAAATAAGGAAATAAAACACTGAACAGAACACTCAACTAATATTACAATTGCAAATAGTATTATAATTACTAAACAATGTATGAGATGCTAATGATAAACATAATTCAATATATTAATTATATCTGGAACATGTTACAATAAAATACTTTCAATAAACAATGAGTTACAAAAATGGTAGCACATTATTTGGACTGATCATCCATAACATTATTATTACAGCAATAAACAATATTAACACACAACATATATTATTTAAGATCAATATACAATGTAAAAATACATTAGCTATCACAAAAACAATGTAGCAGATTGTAAGTTTACTCAGAATGTGTTTGGAACAATATATTAATGAATAACATGTACACAATAGTATAATATTGATATACAAAGTCATAAATGACATTGTGAAGCAACACAGCAAAACAATACATGTATGATATAACATACACAACACACTTAGACACATTGTGAACTGTACACAGTCAGATACCAAATAAAAATACAAAGAATATGTTAGTATAAAACCTTACTAACCTCAGTATGAAGCAGTCTAGCACTTTAAACATAATAATGATATTATAAACTATGAACAGTATAAATGCTTCCATCTGAAGGCATAAATATCAGACAATAACTGAGTGCTTACTGTGTATAGAATTATCATCAATTATTACTGAGTGCTTACTGTATATACAAACACACAAATACAGACTGTAATGATGAATAGAGGTCATCATAGCAACAATAGTAATAACAACATTAAAAGACATCTACTAGTAAACCTTTACTACTAATTAACAAGCAATACAAGTGAATAATGAACATTATGATTGAATAACAAAAAGCTAGCTTAATAAATAAAACACACACATTTACAATCTTACACAGTGCTGATGAGATTCTGCAGGTCTCTGAAGCACTTATGACATTAATAATGATTTCAAGCAATTTATTGTGAAAAACAATACTGTTATTGAATAGTAAACTATGTATGAACTTTGGATTAACTCTGAATAACTTTAATCATGTCAAATTGACTACATGACAACAAACAACAACTTAATAATATAACAACAAACAAAGTACAGAACTAATGACACAATAATGTATGAAAACTCGGACTTAATAAATATCTAACAACACACAAAGTTAACACACAGTGGACTAAAATATACAATACAAACGACACATTTACATTATACAAATGATATTATTAAATGAGATATACAAGCAAATATAATACAGACACACAGACATACATTGCAGATATAATATTACTGTAATAAAAATGTTGGAATGATCTGTAAATCAAACACTTTATGAGTCTGGCCAACTTATAAATGTTTGAAGGGGAGCAGTAGCAGTACTATAACTACCCCTAAAAATAAAAATAAAATAACTACAAATCAAATAATCAAATAATCACAAAACAAACATATTATTGAACTAATAAATGTTTGAAGGGGAGTGTTAACATATATGGGAAATAGCATATATATGGAATGACGCATATAAGCAACGGACGTACCCGAGACATAGCTACATAGTATATATATCTACTCAATCAACAGACAATGACACTCACGGAACTTGACACACACCTACAACGAACGAGAGCGGAGTCCACTGAACCCCCATACTGTGTGATTCCCTCTGAGCATAACCTATCTTAACATGGACAAAGACAAAAAATTCATGAAAACAATACTATACATGAATATGGTCGGTTCATTACAATATGCAGCAGATTGTACGAGACCAGACATTGCATATACAACTGGTCAGCTAGCAAAATATCTAAACAATCTGGACATAGAACATTATCAGGCAGCAAAACATTGCTTCCAATATCTAAAAGGAACCAGCAATTATTGGTTAAAACTTGGCAGAAATAATAATCAAAATACTAAAGGATACTGTAATGCAGACGGACGAATAACGCCAGGAAGCAAAGCAATACTAGTGTATTCATTCCAAATAGGAAAAGCAACCATATCATAGTCAAGCAAAAGCAGCGATTTGGTACCATTAAGCGTCTACGAAGGCAAATTGCAAGCGCTGGCGCGAGCAACACAAGAAGCCATTTGGCTAAAACATTTTGTCGAGGAAGTACTGCAGACTACCTTGACACCAATAACAATTCACTGCAATAACCAAGCAGCAGTAGAGCAAGTCAAAACAGAAGAAATGACTTATAGTGCAAGAACGCAGCACTTCGACTTGCAAAAAGACTTCGTGCGAAATTACATTCAAAATAAAACTATCGACGTAAAACATATTCGGACGGAAAACCAAGCAGCGGACGTTTTAACAAAAGCACTCTACGTTCCACAAATCAAGCATCTAATTGAAATACTAAACCTCGGACGAGATAATTAGAGCTTGAAGGGGAGTGTTAAGACTGCAATATTAAGCAACATATCATATTCGGACGATTCGGCGAAGGTAGCGGACACGCTAACTTCCATGCGGATGCAAACCGGCATCACTCACATGACTCCTTATGCTTATTACGCAAAGTAGTGCATGTACCGTAGTATAAAAGCGAGGGCATCGTGCCCTGTAATATTATCGATTATCTAGAGTCCCCTGCGTCTAGCGTAAACTCCCCACTGTTCGTTTGACACAGCGGAAACAGGACAGGATGGAACGCGCTGAGATACATAATATATAACGCAAGTGCGACAAAACGGAACAAGAATGGCGCAAGGCGAAGTGAAGATGAGAGTCAGCGATTGAGAAGGAGAGGGGATAGAGGAATGCAATTAGCAGTGCACCGCGTGACATGGAGAACGGAAAGAGTGGTCCGGTCCCGAGAACCTAAGGCGCCGTTCGCTCGTTGAGAACGTTGTACGCATATGGAGATAAATTTTAGTTCGGCCCGCCCGTCGGGAGTGGTCAATGACATCGCCGTCGTCCGGCGGTAATGCCAGCGCCAGGGTTGATACACTCTAAATATGGGAAGACAGTGTCATTAGCGAAGAGTTCGAAAGACAAAAGAAGAACAGACGTTGGGCCAACTGAACAACCTTTGACTCAGTATGCTCGTCTCGTCGAGACCAGCATATTGAGCACTCAAAAAGCACGGAAAACTAGGGAACATTAGTGTAACAAAATGGGGAGAGACAGAGAGAATGGCGAAAAAACAACGGGGAGGAGTGGAAGATAGAAAGTCGGACTTAATCCGCAATTTCTCCCCCACTCCACCCCACCCCTCACACAAGCAACAAACTGTGACAAAGAGGACATACATCCAGATCCAGACCCCAACCGGGTCACTCTGTCATTACGTTATGTGAGTGGGTCCCAACCCTTTGGCAAGGGTGGAGTGGGCACGGGAGCCACCCGTGCAGTTGACATACGTGTGCATGCAACCTTTTAATGGGACCCATATTTTCGCGAGTGGGGATACCGACTGACAAAGAGGGAGCCTAGCTCCTCCTCGACGATCGTATCCGCTGCTCGCCCGGGGGCGCAACCGACAAGAACGGGAGCCAGCCCCTCCTCGACGATCACACCCGCCACTCGCACTGGGGACACAACCGACAAGATGGGGTGCCAGCCTCACCTCGACGATCACATCCCGCCACCCGTCTCAGCAGCGACGGCCAACAAAGAGGGCGGCCAAGCCCTCTTTGAAGGTTGCGTCCTGCCGCTCGTCCCGGGGACACAATCTAAAAGAAGGGAGGCCAGCCCCTCTACGATCGCTTCCCGCCGCCCGTACCTGCAAAAAAAAGACATCCGATGAAAAGGCATCCAGCTCCTCGACGGCGCCGCTCGACGCTATTGGAAACGACCGATAAAATGGCATCTAGCCCCATCTCGACAATCACGGCCCGCTGCTCGACTACATGATCTAAAAAAAGGGAAACCAGTCACCCTACAGGATAGCATCCTGCCAAAATTGTTTGATCAGTGTCAATACTCGGGAGTCACTCGATGACAAGGAATGCCTATTACCTCTTTGCTGTCGCGTCCAGCCAATGTCCTCCAGCTTGCATTGGTCCGGATAAGATGACTTTCTAAGCTCCCCCTCAACAATTCTGCTACACCTATAGACGGAGTTAGGATGGATATGAGACAACGAGATGAAAAGAAAATCAGACAAACCTTAACCTCAGCCCGCTCGCGTACGTCCTGTGGTCCTCGTTATGACCCGATGACTCTAAGCTCTAGCATGACGTAAGAAGGCAATCTTTCTCTTCAGCCAGCCCAGGAACGAGTTTGACCGAGGCGTACGTCCTCTTCCGACGTTGCGGGAATGCGCTGTAACCATCGAATGGGGAGATGGGTTTGACATCTGCGAGACATTGATTATCCCGAGGCCAACACGCTGTGATACTTGGCCATTTGCGGGCCACCACCGATCGCAACCAGGACTAGCCTTGTTGCTGGGACGTTTTTTGTTGGGACATCTGGCTGCCTCTGCGAGTTCCGCAACAGGAACGGGCAGACGTTGGAGCGCGGGACGTCGTGATCTCGTTTCCCCCCCTTTCCTAGACGGTTCATTGCTCGCCACTGCAAAAGGCGGACTCGCCACTGTAATCGTGTTTGCATACATTTCTTCGAGCTGCGGGACGTTGAAAAGGCCAAGTCCGAATAAACCACGCGCTCTGAATTGGACTGCCATGTTGCATGCCGGTGAGAACGTAGGCAGGTCCGGTGTCTCTATATATTCAATGTCGACAACCTCGAAACCTGAGGACAGTGCAGGAGAGGCGGCAGTACCAACCGCCGCCGGCCGGCGAAGTTGTTTGAACACGTAGGTCGAATAAGATGGACTCTCGTAGCCCCCGTTCGGGTGCGTTGACGCGTTTCCGCCTGAGTGAGGGTCACTCGACTGATTTGGCAGGGTACCCGTGGGGCACTGGGCTAGCCAGGGCAGATACAGCTCCCAGCCGGTGGGAGCATTAACGGACGAGTGTCTACACTCGTCAGCCTTGGTCAAGGTGGGTTGTGGACATGAGGACACGCCCGCGTGTCCGCTTTCACTCTAGGAGGTGTATTAGTATAGACTGCTTTAGTATGAGAAACGAAGGGCAGAGTACGAACGAAAGAGCTCGGCGTAGACATTGTAACTGAAGGTGAGGATATTGGCAGATAACTGTTCGAAGTCAAGATGGGAAAAGCTGGATGGCCAGAAACGCGAAGTTTATATTTTGGTCTGTCCAGGGCTGACACATTAGACCGGAGTGCAACTTGAATTCTCAAACATAGCAGACAGAGACAATTGTATCAAGTCTCACTGGCTTTGATTGACGCAAAAACCGGAACAATAGTCATGTCGGAAATGTGAAACACCAGAAAATATCGATAAAGGTATTTGATTTAAGACTACCAGTACTAGGTTGCGTACGAATTCCTAGACGAGAAAGAACTCTGGTATTCTCTTATTTCGTAAGTTTGATCTTGCACAGGCACTTCAACTACTCAAGTGTAAGGTCCAGACGATGCAGCAGAAAGTGACGTGTAAAGGATGTTCAGCGTGAAGGTGAGTGTCAAAGGAAGGAAAGGAATGTAAAGGCAAATTACTAATTAGTAATACCCACCAGCACGACATGTCTGCGGGCAGAAACCGCGATAAAAGAGGAATATAATTCTCACGACTATTGAATTGCCACAGCAACGCATTCCTTTCAACACCATTTGCTGCATTTTCTTCCGTGTCAAAAACTTATAATGCTTATATATATACAATTCAATAATACATAATTCTACATGCATGAATTTTCTCAGCCTGTTAGGAGCATCAAGGAAATTAATATGAGTGTAAGAAAGTATGTGAATATATCACAAATGTGCTCTTTTGAGCAACTTGTGACCATATGTCACTCTAGTATATTAAACTATATTTCCATCCTACAGCTTCCTTTGGACCTCTCAATCTATATTAATATATTCACTTTTATGTCTCTACTACTATTTGTTTAAATGAACAGTAGGGAGTTTACACTAGGCACAGGGGACTTATTCAACACACTACATTTTACATCTCATTTACTAGTATAGTACAATGTATCTAGTATATAAGAGTGTGCATATATGCACATTTATCTAAGTGCCATTCCAAACTCCCTATTCTAACAGGTGTTAGGATTGTAGGATTGGACCTATTTCATTTTCTTTATATCTCTGTCAGTTTTGTGAAAAACTAGCATTACTACTGGATTTTCATGATTCTTAACATCTCATCTATTGTTCTACAAAGTTTCATAGAGATTGTCTTAGTATTGAGTGCAGGAGAGAGCTACAGAGACACAAGGCAGTGTATACAATCATAATACAGCCAATCCATTTCTTGCCTAATATAGTAACTTGCACCTCTTTTGTGTAATAGCCTCTTAGCCTATATTCTCTGATGTACAATACTCTGTTAATTCTTCCTAGCCTCTGATACACCTGTTGGCTTTGTGATATTTGTTCTTATTATTTCTTTGATCTTATTCTCAAGTTTCATTCCTTACTTTACTCTTGTTATTTAGTTATTATAAAAAGTAGTCTGTAAATATAGTAGTTCCTTAGTTTTTTGACTCTTCTTGTATTCCTACTTGTTCTCCTAGTATAAATCCTAGCTGGTAGCTTTAGGGATATAGTTGGATTAAGGGCTGCAGGTCTACATTCACAGTTTGAGAGTACTATCAACTTAGAGAAACACATCTCTCTTAACATAAGAGTCAAAAAACTTATCTCTACCTTAATACTACTCTTAGTCTAAGCTACTACTTAATCAATATCCTTCTAGTCTGAGCTACTACTCAACTATCCTCTCTATCTGATCCTACTCTCTTTTGAGTCTGAACTACTGTTTGATTTGTCCTACACATAGTTAGAGCTATTACTCAATTTTCCCTAATTTAAGCTACTACTCAGTCACTCCTCCTACTTAATCTGCCCAATCTGCCCAATCTGCCCAATCTGCCCAATCTGAGCTACTACTTGATTGGTTTGCTTAAGCTGAGCTGCTACTTGTTTGAGTATTCCTTACTCCCTTTATAAACATACCTTTACTTTCTTAAAGAACTATTAAACTGATTTACTATTCTATTAATTCTATATTGTCCCTCACTTATTTGTTACTTTATTTTCTATTATTTTATACTCTACTCTTGAGGTTGAATTGCTACCATCATTTGCTCTCTTTCACTATTTTGAGTTTGTGTGTTGTCTTTGTAATTTGTATAGTTACACTCTTTTCTAGACACTTTTTAACCTACTACTTGTGAAGCTCAATTTCTAGCCTTTGTTCACTAGTTGACTAGAGCCTCTCTCAAGTAGTAATGCCTTTAGGGACTTTACAGTCTGAAAGTCTAGTATTGTCTTACAGTTATTTAGTGTTATTAGATAAGAGTTACTAGATTATACTTAGAACAGAGTAAATATAAACAGTTTAAGAGTTTAAAACTGAAAGATTAAAGTTGCTTAGACAGTAAACTAGTTGAAGGAACAGTTTCTAGAACTTAGACATTGTTCATAATAAATTCACACTAGCCTCTAACAAAGACCCAAACGTTTTAGAGCTTGCTTAAGTATTTAAAAGAGTATTCAGTACTTTAAAAGTTAATTTATTAGAGCTAGCCTTAGGAACAATGTCAAATCCTTTAGGAAACTCTCTTATACCCTCTTATGAGCCTGTACAGCCCTAGCAAGGTGTATATATGTACTTAGACATGAATTTGGTCTCCTAATTAATTACAGAATCTATCAGTCAAACTGTTGTTACAGTAATGTACTATACTCCTACTAGAAACCTGAGAAAGATTACTACTACTCCTAGAGAGTATAAAGGAGGCAAGGATTATTAGGACTTTAAAAGAGAATGTCTACTGTATATCCTAACTAATAAAAGAGCCTTCTATAACAGTAAAAAGAAGATACTCTTTGTACTTTCTTATCTAAAGGAAGGGACAGTTACTATATAAGTAGAAAATTGGGTTACTCAAACCACAGACACTGATAGTGAAATTCTTTGTACACAATTGTTCTAAGAATTTATAGAGTAACTAGGGCAGTCATTTGATAACCCTAGTAAGAAAGAAACTACTATCTAGAAGCTTAGACAACTCAAGTAAGGAAATTACTCTATAGATGTCTTTTTCTAACAGTTTAAGATTCTTAAGACCAAAGCTAGACTGAGTAATAAAGTACATAACTCTATATTAATTAATTTACTTTAGTATACTCTTAATCCTAAAGTACTTTGTCAGTTAATACACTTATCACTAGTCCTAAGTACTTATAATAAATGGAAAAAGTATACAATTCAGATTGACAACAATAAAACTTGACTCAGGGAGACTCTTGTACACAGGGGACTCTCTAGTAGTCAATCTGACAATTGTCTACACTTTAATCTTCCTAACAAGGCTTACAACTCTTCTCAATCTAATCCTACTGTGTATTTTAAAGTCCTAATATATAGATAAATTCTTAACTAACCTTATATCCTTTCAGGTCAACTCCTAATGGAAAAACATTCTTAGAAGCTAGAGAACTAATAGACATCTTAATTAACAATACTAAGAAAAATCAAGCTTGTTACATTTGTAGAGAGATTAGTCACTTTACTAGAGTTTGTCCTTCTTAGTATTAAAGAGTTAGAATGATTCTTAGAGTCATAAGACTTAAGGAAAGGTTTACTTTTGTAGAGGTAATACAGGAATTAAAGGAAGGAGACTTTATAGATAAAGAATCAGACAAGGAACAGATTAAGGAAGAGGAGTCTTTTGTTAATCCTTAGGTATAAACACTGTATTGTCTGAGAAAGAGTTAGAATAGAGTTATTATTATGTAAATAATTAATGCTAGGTATCTGAATCAAATATAGACAATTATTGTTTACACTATAATACTCTAGACAGTAAATACTCTTATTTCTTTAATGAACCTATTAATTCTGAAGTCTGTAAAGAGGTAGAAGGTGTAAGAACAGTTTTAGACATTCCTTATAGACTTGTAAGCTCAGTTTCTCTTAGGGAAGCTTTGTACATTTGCTCTAGCACTAGAAGGCAACTGGATATGTTCTTGACAATTAAAACAGATCATAGACTCATTAATACACATACTCTAATTGATTCAGAGTGTACTAGATCATACATAGATACAGGTTTTGTTAAGAACAACAAATTAACAATATATCCTTTTAAGAATCCCTTCCTAGTCTTTAATACTAATAGTACAAGTAATGATACAGGTCTCCTAAAGGACTATGTTAAAGTGGAACTCTCTGTTAAAGTACATACAGAGACAATTTGTTTAGTAGTCACTATATTAGTATTAAGTAATATCTTTCTAGGATATGATTGGTTAAACAAGTATAATCTGGAAATTGATTAGGGACAAGGTATTGTGTTCTTTACTAAATGTCTAAACAGTTGTTCCATGTCCTTAGATAAACTAGAAATGTATCCAGATGTTCTAGAGTACCTAAGGAGAACTAA